TGGGCACTATAATCTGAGAGTCCAGTGTGGCCAATCACGTCAGTTGTCCCCTATAACTTCCCCAGAATCATCAGGCCATCTTGCCGCTTTAGTTGTTATAGAGACATCGTGGACTTGGACGTGGAATTAATCAAGACAAGGTAAAACGCCATATCTGGTCACCTTCAGACTGTGATAATGTTTTGGCTACATTACAAGGAGCTGAAAACATATTTTGAATGAGGCCAGTATATCTTGGTGCTAATAAAGGCAGGCCCACAGAGTGATACATTTGACAGCAGATTCTGACCTGACTGTCTTCTCCTCTGGTGGCTTAAGGACCCATCTGCTAAGCCAGAGATGGACAGGCCCGAGGAACTAGCATTATCTTGGGATTTTAACACATGATTAAATCCAGTATTTATGAAGGAGGCCAACAAAGTGAAGGCAACACACTCGGCAGACCCCCACATCTCTCTGCAGTGTCAGACTGCTGGATAATTGGCACTTAGAGTTGTTTACAAGTTGTACTTCTTTTGCTTAACCTAATGTGGTGAAGCACTATACAGAGGAAACAGACAGATGCAGCATCATATTTGTCCTTTTAATCCCCCGTCTCCTTCATTTGTGTTTATTAGAATCTTAGCAAACAGTAAAATAATCCAAGTATGACATGAAAAGCTTATTCCCTTCTCTTTTAAATACCCTTAAATGCTTCCAATGGAAGCACACCGACGCTCAACCGTCATCTGCCATGGTGAAATTGAGAGTTTTAAGTAGGGTTGTGCTATGTCTACAAAATTTCCAAGTGCATGTGTTACCTCGCACAGACTTCACTCGTTTAAAAACTTGGTAGCCTATGACGTTACAAGTCGCGGTGGTTATTTAACAGGCACGGACCAGGTAACGGTAAAGCAGCATTGAACACACAGTGTGCAGATGTTGGTTTTGGTTGTTTGATAGGCAGAAAGTGGAGTAGATGGGGGGGGGGCAAGCCGGCTTGTTTACCTAAGGTGTAGGGCTTTGTGTGTGGTGAGAAGAGAAATCTGAGGAAGGTGTGAAGCATATTTATAATTTATAATAATAATGTTCGTGGTGATTAAAACCTGCTTTTCATTATAGGTATAAGGTGATATATATTATAGGTATTAGGTGAAAAATGCCTGCTCAACCTTCAACCATCTGTCAGCCGTCGGCGATGAATGATGGCATCGTCTATTGTCCCAACCCTAGTTTACAGCTGTCCTTTGTCTTCTAATCACACTGAAAACATTTACTAAAGACTATTAAAGACTGGTTAGGTGTGCTGAGGGTATTACTGGGCTCTGCTAGGTTTTTGATTGATTGCCTTGACTTGTGGAAGTTGTTATTAAACTAAAGGGAAGATCGAGTCATGGAGGAGTGTCAGTGTGTGACTGAGTGTAATTTAGACAGTGAGTCTCGGCCTAACAAAGGCCAGCACATTGAGGAGCACAGGCTGTCACACAGATGTCAGTGACCCAACCACTGGCACGACGTGGCTTCAAAAGAGCTACATTCTGTCAGGTTCATCTTACAATTAGCACTGTCATAGCTAAACTCAGTAGAGCAGGCTTCACAGAAGGAATGCTTATAATAGGAGCGGGGATTTTCAGTGAATTTATCATAGAAAATGAGCGTTAAAAAAAACAACTTTGTGAGAGCATGTAGATATCCATAAGGCACAAAGAAACCAACAAGAACATCTTGTCCTCCCAGATGCAGTATCCAGCATGCTGTGCTTGTCGTATTACAATAAATGCATTTCCATCGGCGTACACCAGGATACTGTCCCAATTTTCTGCCTCTCCCCATGAAACAAACATGTGAAACTATAAGAATATAGATTTAAGGGACTGTGAACTGGAAGCTAACTATCCTATTTTGCTAGAACTTATCTAAGCTTAATAATCTTTCACAAATGCATGTTTTGTTCTAAATTATCTTTGTTAACACATTGCTGTTTTGTTTTATTCAATTTATTATAAAACAGTATATTTTCTTAATGGAGGTTTGGTTTGCAGATACTGAAAACAGCTAATCATAATCACAAGAGGAAATTAAATGATCATTATTATTATTTAATGGACCTCTGTTGGCATCCAGTGGACACCAACAACACTGATCACTATCTCATACAGTGTACGGTGGGTGATAATGGACACCAATAACAGTCTTTTCCTCACTATACAAATGAATATGCTATCTAATCAGAGATCCTGTAAAATTACTGAAAAAGAAACAACACAATGATAAATCCCAGCAACAATGATAATATTACTGTGTCATTTGTGTTGGGGGCTTGAAAACAATTCTGTTTTAGTCGCTTAGTCGTCCACCATCCTTTCTCCTCAAGCAGTTAAAAATGTACAGGGGAGGATTTTTGTTTTTCCACAAAAGTGTATGGGCTCTAGAGTGTGTTCTGATTAGCCAGAAATGTCAGCGCCTACTCTGTAATCACTGAGTCATCAGCATTGATCAACAATCCGATCAATCCCCAACACATGTATTATGGTCGTTGTGTGCCTGGAGCGCTAAAACCCTGACTTAATGCACATTTAATAAAAGCACCCATGGAGTAAGCTGATCAGCACATAACTTGACTGTAGAGGACGGTTAAAGTTCAGCCATGTCAGGATGTTTTTCTCTCCATTTCATTGCTATTTTAGTGGCGTATGGTAGCAACAATGGGCCTAGAAAAGGGAGCAACAGGTGATGGATGATGTCCAGGATATACTCTGCTCTTTGTGGTAAAATAACAGCCAACAGAGACTCTCCTGAGAGGGTACAACATTATAACGTTCAGTTGCTAACAAAGCCTGAGGAGTTATATTTCGCATACTGTAAACAAATTATAAAAAAAAGTATATACGCTGGCTTCCAGCTAAGCAGTAGAGAGCCACTCATGACACCTTAACTTTAAGAGTTTGAGTCAAAACTCAGGGAGTGCATGCAGACCTTCTGCTGCAGGGGTAAAGTAGCTTTAAACCAGTTTGCTGAATTAATGACATAGCATTGGGTCTGTATCAAGACTTTTACTTTACTTTTAGCCACCATGTCTGATTCCCTTTCCTCCATGGATTTGAATCAAGCCCACAGAGACACATCCACATTTTTGCCATCAGAATCATTTAAAATGTGCTATAATCACATAACAGTTTCACACAAAGTTTCTTTAATCGCAGCTCCTCTTTGAACAAAACCTGACTTGACATCGTATTTTTGCTGATTTCGTTCTTTCATTTCATTGAACAGTTATGCTTTTCAGGAATTCATTCAATCTTTTAAAGCAGCTGTTAAACATTTTAGCAGTTTACAATGAGGGCTTTTAGTGTCTCAAAATGGACTCTAAAATTGCTTTGTCACCTTCACAAGAATGACATTTTTGAGGAAATGAGACACACTGAGTAGTTGGACTCAGTTTGGGTGGTCTTGACTACAACACTACTAGATACTGCAGCTGTGCGACCTGTGGCCAGGCAGTGGGATTATGGACGGGCTAAAGAAGCCACCACAGTAGCAGTAGTATTAAAGTGGTGTTAAAAGGTGTTAAAACACCTTTTTAAGGAGGATTTTTGCTGTCTTGACCTGTTAGGCCTTTGTTGGAGCGCTGCGCCCAAAATGAAGAAAAGAGCTCCCATTGTGCAGTGAAGCAGCTGATTAGATTTTGGTCAGTCCATCATCAATAACAGTAAATTTACATTTATATCTGTCTCCCTTTGCTGATCTTCCTCACAAGTTTTTAATGCTCAAAAATCCTCATGCAGGCATGGTGGGCGACAGGTCCATATCATCACACCTCAGACTCGCTTCTAGATAAACGTACATTATAATAAACAGAATTTTCACAAAGGCGTGGTGACCTTATATTTGGAGCAGTGAATTGTGCATGACAAACAGTGGTTACTCAGGGTCCCCCTCTTCAAAAGAAAAATGATTTCATATTTTAATGTCTTTTTTATATTTGCACCTACTCTTCATCTATATTCACATTTGATGCATGACTTCCTGATAAACTCATTGGACCAAATAATGAAAGATTATTTTTCTGATATTGCCTTGTTTTAGAAGTCATTCCATCTTCAGTTGTAATACATATCATACAGCATAGAACTAGCATCTACTCTGCACCCGGGAACAGCAGCCTCAGAGCTCTCAGGCCCGGAATTAGATGAGTGTCACCGTGCATTGGGTTGAAAATCCATACTTATAGGAGTTATTTTAGTGACACTGGACCTTTTGTTCCTCTGTAAAAACTATGCAGCTCCGACAACAGGCCACTGTTTCAGCCAATATTAGCATGCAGATTCTCTGGTGTAGTGCTACACCATTTCTGCCAGTACAGTGCGTATATTGTTTTTGGAGGCAGGAATGCACTGGATGTCCTCTGCTGTGGGAGCTGGCTGACTTAATGGATAGCTGTCAAAGTGAGAAGCAGCTGTATTTCCATCTCACTGGACCTAGTACACTGGAACATGCATTGCTTTTATATGGTTGAACTTGAAAAATTTAACCTATGCTAATGAAGGGAGAGGAGATCTGATGCACTACACAGGGGTGACTCTGCTGCAAAAGGTGGTGCAGCCTCTTCTGTAAAATTGTGTGAATCCACTAACAGTTATATTACTGTGATAAACATTTTTGTTTAAGCCCACTAATGCATTGTGCTCCAGTCAAATCAAGCTGGGAATTGTGAGCACACCTGTTGATTTTGCCTCAAACGTCTGCACCAGAAGATAGAGAGATAAAACACTGACTCAGGGATAAAAGAGTACTTAGGAATTTAAGATGTTTCAGTTGTGCATGTCTTTATTCTCACATTTCTACACGTTTTCTGTTCAGCAGGTAAGGTTCATTCAAGTTAAAATGTGAAATGATAGCTCTGCTGGTCTCTGCTGCAGCAGGAAGGGCACAGTCTTGTCAAAAGAGTCATTGTGCTGCAGTGGCTTGTTATGTGCCATGCAGGCCCAAGCCCATAGATGACCCTTGTTGTTTCTGCACAGGCCTGGGTGAGGCAGATGCGAAGCAGAACAATGGCTGCGTCTCGGAGAAGCCGGCGGTGACTGACTCCACGGGCACTGAGAGCCCCCACCAGCCCTGGACCCCCGCCAGCACAGCTGACCCTGACGCCGCCATACCACGCCCCCACCTGGTCCGCCTCTTCTCCCGAGATGCCCCGGGCCGAGAGGACAACACCTTCAAAGAGCGACCCTCCGAATCGGACGAGCTGCAGACCATCCAGGAACACAGCGGAGCGGGTTCAGAGTGCGGGTCGGAGAGCCCCGAACAGGATCTAGAATAGGCTAGCTTTTTTTTTTTTTCTCCCTCCCTGTCTTTTCTCTTTTCCCTCATCTGTCTTTCTGTCTCTCATTTAAGAGAGAGAGGCAAGAACCCCACATTTGACAAATATAAATATACTACCAACCACTTCTACAGCCATGGCATCTGCAAGCAGCTCTGCACAGGCCGCCTTCGGGCTGGGCCGGAGGAAGAAGAACCCCGGCCTCCTGGACCAGATTGGAAAGTTCTTTGGAGGGGACAAGAAGAGGAAGAGCAAGGTGAGGAAGCAGGGAGAGTCGTGGTGAAAGCTCAGTTCATTCTGCTGATTTACTCTCAGAACCATTTTTTACTTCTGATTGTTTAACAGATTTTGTAAGAAATTATTGCAACATATTTGTCTTATAGATTTGTGTTGGTTTTACTATTGTTTTTATGGTGAACCGAAGTCAGACATTGTCCTATGATTCACATTAACTGTCTAATAGGTTATGATTTGACACTGGATAATGACTTTGGGTGGGCAATGTTTTATTCTTAATTGTTTATTACAAAGAGGCTGTGATTTTGAATGATTTGAGGAAACATTTCTATATTGTTCTGTTGTTTTTCCTTTTTTTTTGAATGGTACTGACATTGGTAGCATTTTTCTCTTCAGTTAAAATTAATGTATCTGTTGTAGATGTGCTTTGGTGGAGTTGTTCACTTGTCGCTGCCGTTATGCAGTTTGTTTATAAGATCATTTGTCAAAGTAAAGAACAGGTACTTCCCTAATTGATGATGATGATGATGATGATGATGACGACGTGAGAGATGGGGGTAATTAATGATGTTGTAGAGGCATTAGGTACTCCGCAGAGTTCATACGGCTTTGTAGAGAGCTAGTCTCTTTGATTTCTATCTCTGGGGTAATGTTTAAACATCTGTAATAATTCACCCCCAGGGAGGTACTTCACTGTTTGCACGGTAAAGTAGTCTGCTATGTCACTTTCAAAGTTAATGATCACATTATGCTATAAATGATCAAAGAGGTGGATATTAACATATAATGATATATAGTAGAGTAGGAGCATATTACCATCCCGTTAGGGAATATATACAAGAGTCTATTCTATAAAGTAAGAACAGGCTGATCTTCTCTTGCAAACAAGTGATTATGAGGCATTAGAGCCTGCATTGCTTTTACATTTTGTACTCTAGTGTTGTCAAGATACCATCATTTTGTTTTGACCATTAGTAAATATAAAAACTTTACTCATCAGACACGTTTTTAGGTTGGTGTCCAATTAGTTTTCGTCTTTGCTTTGGTATGGAAATTTTTGTACATTTGTACTCTTGGATCCACTTCCAGACATGATGGGCTGCTTGGCACTGTTGCCACAGCTATTAAGAACCAGACTGCAGCTCTGTCGGTTCAACCCCTTTTCAGGCCATGGGCCTTGCACTCAGTGATGCCCTCTGGAGGTGACGGTGAAATGGAATTTCAGCTTCAGCACCACATGCGGTGAAAATATAGTGTTCACCTACAGCATTGATAACACATTCATTTGGTTGGTTTAGTTATCCTGACAACACTACTGCAACACGCTAAAGCTAAAACCCAAAGCCTCTTGTAGTGCTTTTAGAAAGAGGAAATACAACTGTTGCTATATGTGTTCCATCATGAGTCATGTCTGCTCATTTTGGCCACTGTCTTAAAACATGGACTATACTGATATTGGTTTAAAAGAGGAGCTGTAGTACAGTAAACCACAGCTGAGGACAAAAGCACCTTCTTTTTTTCTGTCCAGCCAACCCTGCAGAGTGCCAGTCACAGTGCTTTGGCAAGGTAATCGCAAAGAAATGATTCAGCAGTATGAAAATATGCATTTCCCCCCACGCCTTATATCAACTATGAAAAGGTGTTCAGCGTAAGATTCAGGATAAAAATGATTTATATATACTGTATGCTACAACTCTTTTTGCTTTAATGTCATTCATGAAATGTTCAGGGAAAATGTCAACAGAACAAATTGTGAATCATTCAGTGTTATGCTGGTGACTCGTTTGCTGCCATATTTCTTTGATTTTCATATTCTTAATGCCATAAAATTGTACATTGCGCTCCATATTGATGACAAGTGTACCAAAACAAAGTTGTTGAAATATATATTTATGTATTCACCAAGGGTTTGCCTTCAAATGATGAGTGTTCACATGTCAAGTGAATGACAGTTCGCCCCGCCTCTGTTGCCTCCAGTTAAAAAAAAAAAATCAACCTGCACTAACCTTCTGCTGCAAACACTTATTTTTTCCAGCAAGACGTCATCATGATATTTTTTTGCTTTAATATCTGATCTACTTTGTCTGGCTGAGTGCAGATTCTACATTCTTTGACTTCTAGGCTGCTGTATTGTGGGAAACATTGTGTCATTGTTTTCTGTTTGATCTTGAATATGCATGCTTACTTAAGTGATCCTGTTTTAATATTTGGCAGGTGTGTAGCCATTTACTGATCTCTCGTGCTTTTTATGTTCTTCGTCTGATTTATATCCATAATTTTCAGTCCAAGCCGGATGGGCTTTGAGAAAATGTTAAGACCGTTAGCAAGAGATGATTCATAAATTGTGAGGTGATGCCAAAAACGACAAACTCCAGTCTCAGGACATGAAACAACTGCAGGAAATCTGCATTTGAATCATCATTTCAATTTACAGGGATAATTATGTGGTAATTGGAGGGGAAATTAGGTTTGCATGAATGCTGGATATTCAAGCAAAAATTAAGACTCATAAAGAACAGAGAACATTTTGTACTCTTAATTTGCATAATCATTTGTTGAATGACAGAGAGTCAGTCATATAAGGCAACATATTAATATGATTACTGCATATGAATCGGGCTTTAGCGGAACAGCTCACAGTCAAAACCAAAACTCGTGCGATACTAACCCCCAGTGTCTTGGATGAAGAGGGGGTGTCGGCAGCCCCCTCACCTCAGGTTCTTTGACTCAGTCAGAGAGTTTGTTTGAACCAGCAGTGGATCGGTGCTGATCCCTGTTTTGTAACGCCTTCACCTTTGCAGTGGATACGTGTAAGCGTTTGTATCTGTTGTGAAGTGTTGTGACCGGTGACCTGTTCCTAACCTGATTATGTTCTAAGCTTTTTTGAATTATTGCTTGATTAAAACTCTTTAACAACACCCTCAGCACTGTCTTTGTTTTGTTTTAATTCATGTTTGGCTTGATGTCTCTCTTTTGGGTATTCTTCTGTTTATAAAATATGATGAATCATTTTAACTTCTCTGCTAACAACTGGTAACAGCCAGCCGCTCTGTTTTGTTATTATTCCAGTTCTGAAGCGGTGTCACAATTCAGTTTTCTTAGTTTATCTCTGAGTAACAAAGAAAACATACCCAGTGTAGAAAACTTTACTTTGAGCATTTATTCAGCATGCCTGGATTTGTCTGCAGACAAATTCCTAGTTTTCATTGTTCAGTCAATCAGTCACATAACTATACTTCAAAACAAAAGTTATCAGAGAAGGTTTAATGGAAAGCAGAGCTAGTGCTTATTTTCGCTCTGATAGTTCCGAGTAACGGATGACTGGCTTGATTTGTCTGTGTGAGCCTAAGATTGAGGCAGGAGACCAAAACATCTTTCGCTCACAGTTGGTCTTCTAAACGGGCCAAACTCTGTTATCACCACAAGCTGATTGTTCTTGTTTCCTGGAGACACGCGTGGATTGAAATTCATTCATTCAGACTCAGATAGGAGACAAGTTTTGCCACATATGAGTCATTTAAAGCGTGTCTAAAGACTTGGCTTTAACATAAACAACAGCATGTTCATGAGCATTTCTTCTCCAGTGACAGAAAACAAGAGTTCCGGTCAGGAAATCTGAAAGTCAGCACAGGTTCATTTCAATTTCTATTTAAGATGTAAAAATGTGTGTTTACATTCATCTCTTGCTTAGATGGACCAAAAAAACAAGCACAGCCAAGCACTTGGGCACAGGACATTATTCACAAATTAACAAAGAATTAGGACTAGGATCTAGGTCTAGAATTTTGGACAGACATGGATTTTAATTTAATTTCAGGACAAGCTGCAAATGATTGATTCTGCAGAATTAACAGCAGGCCTGCTTTTTCAGTCACACACAAAAAAGACAATGCAACCTCTGTGTAGCCTCTGAGTTCAAGCAAATATTGCTCAACAATTCATTTGTTGGATTACATTATGTGTTATTTACAAATACATTTAACCTGATATGGGGGATTTAAAGGGCTGTACAAAAAATATTTGGGGGTGAGGTTGACTCAAGATTATGTTTCTTTTTCTTTTTTTAAACAAGGCCCTCTCCAGTGTTATTATCTATACATTCTTAACCTTTCTTTGGCTAAGAAAATTTACAACAGCCTCCCCACAAATTTCAAAGTGTAAAATACTCTTTTTGAATGATGCAAATAATTCTGCCATTAATTACTAAATGTTTTTAAGATGGTGTACCCAATTTAAACCTTAATTTGTTAGAAATGAGAAATGCTTTTACCAAAATTATAGCAAACTCCCAAAACCCCCTTATTATTTTCATATATTATTATTATATTCATTTTTCTATTTTTTCTATTTGATATTGATTTTGTGAGGCACAAGACCTGATTGCCTACCAAGGGGAACAGCAAGCTGTAGCTGCCATGTTTGTGTATCTCCTCTGCTTAGATTGTCAGCCAGATCGATCGGCCCCACGCTCCCACTGTCAGTGTCTGACATTAGGGGGTAGATAGGTTAATTGTGAGTAAATTAATGAACATGTGAAAGAGTGCTGTTTGCTCCCTTTCAGTGCTGCAGGCTAGATACTCTCCACTCCAGATTTCTAGAAGTGACCTGCAGGGATCTCAACACAATTTGTGATGTGTTAAATGCAAGTCTGTGAGATGTTCAGTGTGAGGTGACAGAAGCTTGTTAATAGGCATACATATTTTTCTGATGCTTCCATGAAGATAGTCACTATAGATAAAGATAGATTCTCAAATTCTCCTTTGCTTTGAATGAATTATTAAACAACAATGGATGTTAACCTGCACTTTGCGATAAGCTACAGGGCACAAATACCTTGTAGCTCAAGCTGTGTTCTGAATCCTGATTTCTCACTTTCCTCATTTATGCCAGCACACATTATGTGTATTTGGAATGTATGTGTAAATTTATGGAATTTATGTGTGTGTCTGTGAATAATTTTATGTGGGACAGCAGAAACATTTGAGAGCTTACTGGTACATAGAGGTATAGTTGGTACATAGTGAGTGAATGTGGGGATTTATCATAAGTATCTTACTGTCACCAGGATGGTCTAATTATAGGCTACTCGGTTGTTAGGATCTACTTTTCCTTTCGCCTGTCAAAGTCATGCTTGCGTTAAGGCTCAGTGACAGAGCTTCTTTGAAGTGAGCCGCTGCAGCCCTTTCCATTTTCCATGATTGAATACTGACTATGGCTGACTAGCTATTATTTTCAATTGGTAAGGCTACAGCCTACTCCTCTCATAAATACAGAAACGGAATGGGGAGGTCACATTAAACTAGAAATAAAATATCTAAAAAGTATTGGTATTGGTATCGATATCAGCAATACCAGCCTGGGTATCACTTGGTATTGGATCGGATAGGAATTAAGTGTGACCAGACTGTCCCTGGAAAACGGGGATGTCTGGTCACCCTAATTTTAGGAAATATTGCCTACTAGCTCACTCTCTTGCTGTCAGTTAAATTAGATGCTTGATAACACTTTCATAGCCAATCTCTTAAAATATGACAGTGGAGCCAGAAAATAGTTAACTTAGCTTGGACTGGAGATAGCCTGGTACACTAAAGTTAATTCACATGTTTTAGATGAATTAAACAAACCTGCAAACTGACATTCCCATCCCATACTTTGTGTTTAGTGCTAATTAGAAAATGTTAGCATGCTAACATGGGAAACAATATACCTGCTCAACATCAGCATGTTAGCATCATTATTGTGAGCATGTTGCCATGCTAGCTTTAGTATAGCTCGAATGCTAACGCTGTCCCTACAGCCTCACAGAGATGCTAACTTAGTAGTCTTTATTCTAAGCCAAGCTAACCTTCTCTGGTTTCTGTAGCTTCATATTTAATGGACAGTTAATGTGTATCAATGTTCTCATCGCAAAAGAAGTAATTATCTTATATTTCCCAGAATGTCCTCCTACTCCTTTACATACATATTCATGTCCTTTTAGCCTAGTGTACCCTAAAATAAACCAACTATTATTCAATCTATAGCCACCCATCGATTTCTGTCTTCTGCAATGTATATTTTTTGTAATGATGAAAAGAAAGAAGAACTGGATAGTTAGCATGAACGATTGTAACCATGACTGAAGAGAGAGCAACAACTCTTAGCAACTGGAAATCTAAAGGAGAGGTGTCACAATACTGGACAAAATGTTTCGATATGAAATACATTAAAAAAAAAAAGTGTGTGTGTGTTCACTCTCTCTCTCTCTCTCTCTCTCTCTCTCTCACACACACACACACAGACCTGAACCTCCTTTTCTTCAGACTTCAAACAGGGCTCAGTGATTGTGACCTTTCTCTTTTAAAAGACACTACTTAAGGGAAAGTTTGAGAAGGAGATCGAAAAGCTGAAGGGCGGCTGCAAAATATCCTAAGAGTCTCATTAACATCATGCCAGGAGCTAATGGAAACATTTTTTCCCCTACCTAAAATACATGTAATATTCACTTGACATTTGGATGCATCTGCTACTGAAGTTATTGGTTGTCATCTTTAGCTTTTTCAAACAGAAATTTTTTTGTTATAAAGCAGGAGAGGAGATGAGAGAAGCAGAGAACAAATACAAAAGATACGCTCATTCACATCAAAGGGAGAACTGGCTGAAATTCAGACTGTACCAGCAGAATTCATGCAGCATTATTTGACCTATTTCCTCTCCCATCTCCATCTTTTCTCTTCTTCTTTCCCCAAACAAAGGCATGATAGTGGCCAGCAAAGGTTGCTCTATTTTCTCCACTCCATTTCAATTCATTATTCATTATTACCGTCATTTAGCCTACATCATGACAGAAACAGACATGCAAAAACACACACAGAGACGTTCACTTACACAAGAGGAAATCATTAAGGGGTTACGGTTGAAGCACCGGGGCAGCTACAGAGCTGGAATACACACGCTGACATCAACTAGAGAAAGGCTAGATTTCCCACTATTGAAATCGTTGAAATAGTAATTTTATACACACTGTAAATGTGGTGGAGACTACTTTTTGGGTTTTTTTTCTCCAAATGGAACCAAATTCCCTTTATATAAGCCACGATTGTCAGATATCCATTTGGGTAGATTGTGCTGTAGACGGAAACCTTTCCTTTTTTTCTCTTTCTTTGTGTTTTCCTACACTCTCTAATTGATGGTTGGTCCATTTTCACAAAACCCATAAAAGACAGTGAAGGTGACGTATAATGTAACACCGCACGGCTATCATATTGCGTAAATGGCTTTGGTGGTGACAGTTTCCCTCCTTTTGGTTACCTGAAGGTTCTTTGATGTGAGATAATGGATGTGAATCATCAACAGCACGCGACCCCTGCCACCCCTCCCAGACTGAACACTGTAAATTATTTTTTTCTCGTGTGGGCTGGTTGTTGATGGCGTTCATTATTAGAAGAATTATACTTTTCACCTTTTATGTGTGTGTTTGCATTTTGCATGAGTTAAAAGGGTTTTTTTTATGCAGCAGTTTTTCTACCTTATTAAGCACTCACATTGACATACCCTTTGTAAAGTCTGACTTTGAAGAACTTGGCTGCATTGATTTGTACTTTAGGATGATAATTGGCCTTCTTTGTTAAGATAAAGCCATTGACTGAGATTGTCAACTGCCCATTTGTTCCATTTTAATGACTCATGGCCAAAGGTTTTTCTCAGTTTGTGTAATGGGGTTAATGAGGTGGAAGCTGTCTGTGACGTGAGGCTGCTATTAATGTTGAATGGTGCTGATTGAATGAATACCTATGACAGTATGGAAGTTAAAGAGGTCATATTCTGCTTTTTGGCTTTTCCCCTCTCCCTTATTGAGTTATATACCTTTTTTGTGCATGTAATAGGTTTGTAGTGAAAAAGCCCAAAGTCCAGCCCAAAGGGAGTTTCCATCTCCCACTGTAAACACTACTCTGAACTGCCTGAAAACAGCTCGTTTGTAGTCCAGCCTTTTCTTCCGCTTTCTGGTTACGTCACAAGAAAACACGCATCATAATGCTCGCCTAGCGGCTAGTCAGACACACCCTCAAAAACACCGGTGGAAAATCACACACAGCACACAGTGAAAAGATGTTCGCCTGCTGCCTCTCCTCTCCCTTCCAAACACTAGTTACCCTCCAGGCAGTCAATGGACATAAAGTTGTTACTGTGATGTAGAGACAGTGCACAGTTAAAATTTTATGGATGAAAGATACTTATGTTACAAATTAATAACTCACCACTCACCACTCTTGCTCCAGTCTATGTTGCTAAGCTGGTATGGGGAACATACAGCTGAACTGAAGCCGTGTTAACAGGCTTTTCAGGACCTGCCCTACTCTGCTTCTGATTGACTAGTAGCCCTTACCTAGGAACTGCCCATGTGCAACTGCCAACAAAAGATCTTTTAGAAGTGGGATGCATCACTCCATGGCTAATACGGAGTGTTCAAATGTAAACACAACACAAAAGAGGAGCTGCAGCAATGTGCAGTATGACAAAAAAATAAAACCATGTTAACCTGTTCTGGTACAACCCCTAAATAAAATGATGAAACAGAAAATGAGCATAATATGACCACTTTAACAGGAGATTTTTCATTAAGAAGCTGCATCTCAGCAGCAATGTGGAGTAACTGACATCTGTATAGCCACTACAGGGGGAAAACTGCCAATTTTCACGTTTCTGAGCAGGACTTTTCTGCTGTGGATTCTAATTGTTGTCCTTCACCATTGTCCACCACAAGTAGTCCACTAACACTCTACTCTACAATACTACATAATAAAAAAGCCTATATCAAACCGGGAATATGTCCTACAGATGAATAAACAATTATTATAATTAATAGCACATGTAAGTAACCCTGTTTATGCAACAATTTTGAGTCTCCGATCAGTATCAACACCCCTGGCATTCATAGCAGTGTAGTGTTTTTGTAAACATTCAACAATTCCAATTGTTCTTGTCATTCAACAGGTAAGTAGGACAAGCAACAAATCATCCTATATAAATCTGTGTATATTTTAAGCATTTTATTCATGGAATCCCAAATGAGTTTTGGTCAAGAATTTAAGTGCTATTTTCTTGATTGTAGTAGTAGGGCTGCCTTCTGGGAAGATATAAAGAAGTTTCAGCTGCTGCACCACCAAATTACAGAGCAGCTTTTCCCCCCAAGCTATCAGACTCTTAAACTCAAATTAATCCCTAGCACTGCTCCAGTGATGATAGTTAATTTCTGTATCATTTTTATAATTGCCTCTGTATTTATGTATGTTGTCTCCTATGTAGCAGAAAGTTAGAAAAGTTCATTTCACTATATAACTTGTTATTTTGTGACAAATAAATGTACCTACCTACCTAGTAACAATATTAAGCCTCAATTCAACAGATACATTATTAATCATACATTTATTTTGACATCCCTTTGAAACTGTAACTCTTAAGAGTTCAAGGTCAAGTAACTTTTATTATGTGCTTGAGCATACCTTTATTTAGTACGTCTATTGTACTTTCCTTTCCTTTCCTCTTCTCATTCCCAGGGATCTTTCCGAGGTGCCCTCTCTCCAGGCCCTCAGAAAGCCTCTGCGACTTCTCCACGTAAGCGTGGAGCAGAGAACGCTGTGGTCCATTTCTTCCGCACGATCGTGAGTAATGAAAATAACACACTGCACCTCTCGCAGTAGAGCTTGCGTAAGCAGCGTTGCCACTGTGCCCATGTCTGCCAGTGCTTCCTCCATGTTTGTCTCTTTTTACTTTGTCTTGTCTCTCACATACTCAGTCAAATCTCTGTACTTTCTGTGATTAACTCCTCTTCAGGTGTCCCCCGCCCCTCCCAAGTCTAGGGTGAGTTCAAATTTACACTCATGGAATACAAAAATAGTAGACCAATTAAATCTTTTTTGTCTTTCAGCAAATTGGTTTCATTCTGTAGGTTTTTATTTTGTGACTTTTCAGTGGAGGAAAAGCACAAGCGTTATTAATAACATTAACAGAATCTTGTTTTCAAGATTCCGAGTAAGACATGTGAAAGTGAGCAGCGTTATATTAAGGCTTGAATGAAGATCATCAATACCATGTTTACTATGCTAATGTTTATGTACAGAAAAATTCAGGAGAGACAGTCAGTGATTTTATCTATTTGCCAAAGTGTAATCTGCATACCACTCAACCTCCATGATGGGATACTGAAACATAACATTTGTAAAGTAAAGATTTTTTTGTCCTGGAGGACGGTAACATAATCTACTGCACACTGAAATTTGATCAGGGTGTTGTATTTGCATCAGTTTAAATAAATTACTTGCCATTTATAACCGGATTGATTTTTAAAAACACAAATTATTATAATACTGGAATTTTGACGATTGCACAAAACACACAGTGGATAAATTCAACCCTTTATTCAGAATGCATTTAAAGATGTGGGCCAGTAGTGCATTTTACACATTCTTTTCTATATGCTGAATGTCTTTGGCTTTGTTGCTGCTGAATGTCACTAAATTTGTGCTCTTTCCAAATGTGAGCATCTGCCTTGCTCCTCTCCCCTTTCCCCCGTACCTCATCTGCTCCTGCCCCCCTGTGACCCCGTGACTTTCCCCCCTGGACGGATCCCCCTATCTGCCTCCTCTCCTTCCCATCCTGCCTTTGCGCCGAGTAAGACACACATTACTATTTGTGCCCTTTCCCTTTTACCTCTTGCCCTTGTCCCCTTGTTTCTCTACACGTCCAGTGGAGAGGACTAGCAGCCAAGATAGGCCTGGTAGGTGGTTTAAAAAACTGCAAAAATACAGAGCTATCATGCCTAATTAAGCCGAGGGGGCAAGTGAGGTCATCCTCTCAAACAGCCTTCGAGTGTGACGCCTGTGGCTCTGTTTCCATTTAGTCTCCATCAACCACTTTAGCCATTGTAATCTGTTCATATATCAGTGATAACACCCTCATTTCCTTCCGACTTAAGTCCATTTCCAAATACATCATTCCCTTTTTGTAGCTTGGCAGCCTGACTTATCCATATCGTGTGCGTATATTGTATATTCATGATAACACAAGCATTATTCTGCTCTTCATTATTCTTGTTTCACTTCAAAAATTCCTCTGTGGCTGGCAGAAGTGAGGCTGCCTTCTGCTTCATTTGATGATGTTATCTGCACTTAATTTAAGGTCCTCATGCTTGTGTGCGCGAGTGTATGTGTGCTTGGTCTGAGTCACGAAGCAGCAGAGGGATTATTGGGGGATAAAAGACAAAATGGCTCAGACAAAGGAGACTTTCCAAATGAAAATGATTAGAGCGGTACTGGGGGGGTCAAAAAAGTGGTTAAAAAAGGTAAAAAAGGTTTTATTTTATTCTTCCCCTGAATATTGGTTTTTACTTCACCCTTCCTTTGCAATATTAGAAGTTCTATGATTTTATGATTTAAATTCTGGTACACAATTAAACACGTAGCATTTTAACACCGGTTTATATTATTTTGACATGTTGGGAAGATGAAGTCAAGGGAGGGTTCAGAGACAACATAACTAATGCTGGTTCAGCCCCTGTCACCACTCCAATCATTTTCATTCATTCCCTAAGTGTTTTATTTAAGGTAATGAACCTTAAAACGAATTTATATAGTACATTTTCATGCATATTTGATCAGACATCAGCGTCTTTCTTTTTTTTTTTAATATAAGCTGTTTCATCCAATGTCAAGCAGCGATGTTTTCAAATGCTACCAACTGAAATACATTTGGTTAAGTAAACAAATTTGCTTACTGAATGGCACTAAGACGTAACAGAAAATAGACTGTTCAAAAACCAATCAGAATTTGCTGTCAGCATGTGGTCATAATACTGTAATATGCAGGTACCAGATGACAACAGAAAGTCAACTTAAATTCCCTCTTCTTTTCAAACAACACAAAATTTGCCTTGGGTGGTTTGAGGCAAGCAAAAAACTTTTTTCCTTTTTCAAACTTTGCTGCTTTGTAGTTTTCCTTCCTTATGCATAATTCACACAAAATACTTGGATGAAAACCTTGCCAGAATACTAAATACAGATATTAAAAGTAGGCAAAATTGGATTGCACCGTAATCAATACCTGGTTTTTGCAGATATTTTAAGTTTTTTTAGAGCACACTGTTCCATCAAAGAGAGAGGTCTTGTGTGATACATGCTCTTCGCTCCTTGCTATTTTAACCTGCCCCCTCCACTGAATCAGGAGCTCCCTGTAGGAAAGGTCAGCCACGTGTTAATCCCCTGTCAGATATGTCCAAGACTCTTTTAACACACTGACTCCTTTTCTCCCTCTGCCAGGGCGACCAGAAGTCACAGTCTGCTAAAGCCAAGAAGGCCAGTGCAGGGGACGGCAAAGGCACCCTGACTAGGATCTTCAAAATGGTAAAAAAAAAAAACTTCTTGTCAAACACTTTCCAACTTATTTCCTGGTGGCTTCTCTTTACTGGAAGTGAAATCGCTTAGAAAATGGAATATTTCCCTAACCACTTTCTTGCCCCTGTTTTTTTTTCTGCCTCAGTGATATATCAGCAGCAGAGTGAGTAACCGATACGTGAGGGAGGGATGCTTGAGTTTAACTCACTCCGCATTTGTTTGATATGCTTAGAAGACACCCTAATCTCATTACCACTGCAGCAGCAGCAGCAGAATAATAAGAGGCTTTTAGAAGAGTGATCATCGTGCACGCTACAAGCTTTATGCCAGTGCTGATACAATCATGCTGAAGATGATAGACCCAGTTTGAAAGGGTCCGGCGGAGTTATAGCTAACATGCTGCACCTGTTTTACATGGAAGGAGTGGTTGCTTATGCACAATGTACAGTATAATGTAACATTATTATGCAATATCATTAATTGCTTGCCAAGCACGACTGGCTCCTTCAGGGTCCTTGGAGGACTCTATGCGCAAAAATGTTGGCAGAATACAAAACTGATCATTAGGCACAGAGTATATTTGAAAAAGGTGTCATTCAATGGCCAGTAATGTTAAAATTAATGTCAGATATATTTGACATTTGTATGCAGGTTTAAACATTTTTATAATGTCCTGTTATATATCTGAATAGCCGAATTTATTACATTTAAGATGCTATAATCAATCATTTTGGCTCAAATTACTATGTGTAATATAAAAAACTGTCACCTGTAGTGACGAACGTACAGAGAATTATAACCCAACTCTACAGTTTCCATCAGGTCATGCAGCATTTTAGCATCGTTCAGCTCATCGTTTTGGTTTTCTGCCCCACAACTTTACTGTAGGTTCAGTGTCACAGCGCAGATAAGCATTGTTTGCAGCAGTAGGTAGCAGTTTTCAGCAAAAAAAAAAAGCTTTGCCACTCATACCTGCCCAGAACCAAATGGCAGACAGACGGTGAATAGCTGGTGGCATAGTAACGCATTTAGCAGCTAAAGATATATATTTCCCGAATAGGTGGAAGCCAAAACAGAACAGAAAGTAGAATGAAAATCGGACTTACATTCAAGGTGTCCATAAACAAGACTTCAAACTAATTGTAATGTTTCTCTGTGTCTGTTCAAGATGTAAATTGGCCAAGTTATAAGGTGCTGATTTGTCAGTGATGTGTTGGAACGCTTTGTTCATTTCTTTCAACACAGTAACGTTATAAGTGTTGTTTAAAACACGGTAATAAATAACTTTGTGTCTTCAACATCCCCGGAGTCAGAGTCCGGTTCCATTGCCTGCTCACTTAGCTTTGGTTCTGGTGCTCATTCCGGTGCTACTCCAAGGCAGCATTCCCCACTGGGTCCCTGGCCCCAGGCTTGAAAACCTTCTCCTCCCGGGGGTCCAAAGCCAGTGTGTGCTAGTGGAAAACACAAATACTACCCTGGTGTTTTTAGCTCCCAGTCCAGAGCCAGCTAATAGGACCACTAACTGAACTAGCTAGCTAATGGCAGAGCCTACAGTTGGCAACAGTACCAAAGATGTATAATAACACATCTCAATTCTTAATACATCTTTATACAACCATGAGCAGTGCATGCAAGCTGATACTTATGTTGCGGCCCTAACAACAAGGCACAGCTCCCTAATGGAGGTGGAGGTTGTTGTTTTTTCTGTGACTTCAGACTAATGAAAACATGGTCGGACAGACAATTAATCAGATGTGTGTGTACTGACATAATGGGTTCCCAGTCAAAAGTTTATTTGTATATGTGAGACTGTGGCCTTGGAATCGTTGCATTTTTGATCAAAAATTAATTACACAGCATAGTTGTGTAAAAACTTCACTGGAGTGGTCACTAACCCATTGTGCTCACTTAAAAGCTTCCAAACATGAAACGTCAAAACCACTGTGAACACAGATGGAAGTAAGGACTGCTGAAGTGAACTCAGGGATTAAAGTCCCACACTGGACACTCAACGTGATAAGACCCAACTTTACAGCTTCAGCACATTCATTAGCACTTCAGACTGCCGTATTCACAACTGCTTGACTTTACAATTTACTGAGAAGCTTGCTATTAGTTGATTTGTTTTCATTTGTAATGAAGAGGAGTGGTGGCTTTCATACTCTGGCAGTTTTTCCCCTGTAAGAGTTTTAATTAGTAAGCCTCTATCACTGTACCTTAGATTAGTTAGTTTAGCAATTAGTGAGGATGGAGAGAAATCCAAATTTCCCCAGGGCTGCATCCTCATCTGTAGTGGCTAAATTGTTGTCACTAAGCTGCAAGAGAGTAAACATCTCTGGAGACTATGGACTTCTGGGACGCTCGTTTCATGTCTTTCTGATACAGCTAATTAGCACTGACTCAGTGCCGTCACACTATCACTTCTGTTCCTTCCACACATAAATGGGCTACACAGTCTTAACAGGAATGGGAATAAAGCAACACTAAATTTTAATTATTGTTTTAGTCTTTTGTTTCTATTCACATTCTGCGTTTATTTTTTACAGATCGAAATTTCAGTTCTGTTGCTGTATATTGGGTTTTTCTCTTTTATGACAGTTAATGAATTTCCTCTGAAATGGCTTTGAGAATAGCTTAGAACAAAAGCTCAGCCATCAGCCTTCATTTTATGAGGAGGAGTAAAAAGCTTCTCAAAGTATGGATTATCTTCTTAAGCAATCCATAAAGATTTGTCTCATTTGTATAATCTTTCTGCCTTTCAGAATCCTTTAGTCTTCCTTATTTTTGATCTGAATGTGAAGGGGGATGGAAAGAGTACAATATAGTCTCAGACATGGCTTTGTGATGAACACAGGATGTCTAATCTTTGAGGACAAAAAACAAATGGGAAACTCTGAAAACATGAAAACCATAAATACAACACATTTGCAGGGTCTGTGAAGCGATGTGGAATGTCCTATCCAACTGTCCAACAATTTCTTTCCTTTCTTTTGACAGACACAGTAGGGACTTTCTCAGACATAAACATTTTTCTGTAGATAAAAAAAAACATTTAAGAGCTGCTTGCAAAATGATAGCCTGCCATGTGCAACATTAGCAATGTGTGGAAGCCCATTACTGCCAAGAAAATGGATCAAAGCATAGGAATGATAAAAAAAATACTTTATAAGAATCAACATTTTGACTTTGAAATCATCATTATGAGGTATTAAGTCAAAATTATGAAAAAATAAGTAAAGTTATATAATAAAGGTTAGTCAATAATTATAAAACAAAAAGTTTGACTTTTTGAGCTTAAATGTATATTCTTACTTTCTCATAAATTTGAAATACTTATAAGATTTGAGTATTTTATACCTACTATCTTATCTCATAATTTCAATTTAACATCACAAAATGTTGACTTGCTATGAGTATTTTTTATCTTTATCATTCCCAACATCATATATTTATTTTGTTTCCATAACAACACATCACTGCAGGTCTGAATATTTCCCTAATCTGCTTATTTCTCACATTAAAGGACTACTCTGATTTTCCAGTGTTAAGCCCTGATCCAATTATTCAGTGGGAGAATTTCTTGTAACAGCTAAAAAGCTGCCAAGTGAGTTAATTTAATGACATGTAACGACAACTCTTGGGCTTGATGAAAGAACTGGTAAAGCCTGTTGAAATGCTTTCTTCTAAAAGCTCTTCAAGATTTTCTTTTACACACAGGATGTGACAAGTTAGACAGCTGACATTTTTAAATTGTGGCCATCATCAACAGTGAAGACTTAAATTTAGCTGAGAAGTTACTGCCAATAATGAACTATTACTTAAGTGCTGACAAGGCCTTCAGAGAAAGCTGTCAACTGTGGTGAATACTCTCATCTCACACTGAGTGAAATAACCAATCGGCCAGACTCCAAGAACATCAGAGTAGTCATTTATTGCTGAACCAGACTTGAAGGACTGCCACCTCCACATATTCATCAGATATGTCTTGTCTTGTTACACAGGGAAGCAGGAGTGCTTCTCCAGCCAAACGCTGAAGTCCCTCTCTACAACCTCTCTCAACAGCAGATGTTCAAGAACACGGGATTAAAGTGGGGAAAGAAGAGCAAGAAAAGGAGGGAATCTTGTCACCCCTAAACCTTACCCTCAACCTCTGATAACACTCTAATGTACGCTAAATCCTTCATCTCCCACCCATTACCACCCCCCCACCTCTTTGGCTGGTAGTTAGCGACACAATCTGTTGCCCCCTCCCAACCCCCTGTATGCGTTGTGCTGAGTCTGTGCAGTCATCATCACTGGTGTGAACTGTTTGCTGAAATTGATCCTGAAGCCGCTCACATGTGCAGCCTGAATGACCCCCTGACCCCCCCCACCACCACTGTGGCTCTCTATACTTGTGCTTGAGTTTCTGTGGACGTCTTCGACTGGTTCTCTAACAATAACGGCGGCTAAACCGAAGCACACCTGGAGCAGTTGAAGGTTACGGCCGGTGCAAGTCCGACTGACTTGACCGTCATTGCCGCTTGCCGATTGGATGAAAGGACCGGGTTGTTTCTGTTATAGTAAAGAGCGGTTTTCTGTCTTGTCACACTGTCTTCGTCAGTCCCCCAAACCTTTTTCTGTGAACTCAAACATAACCCAGTGATTGAGTTCGGTTTTGTGATAAATTTAACAGATTTGACATTATTACGAGAGCCATTTCGTTTGTAGTGTGTTTTCATTCAACCCATGTGTCTTAGCTGTAGTTAAGTGTCCTGTTAATAAATGTGATGTTGATGTATGACATTAGGGCCCTAAGCCTGGCTGTGGATTTTGTGGTAAACATTTAATTTCTAAACCTTCTAAATCAATTTTCTGCAATAGTCACTGAAAAAAAGCCCAGATGAATTAGTAATTTCTAATGTATTGTTTCTTTTTCAGTCCATGAGATAATTGTATCCACTAATTCTTCTTTCCATACATAGATAACTAAATTATTTCATAGTGCACCTTTAAAAACTGCCAGACTCTGAAGCGAGGTGTTGGTGCTGCAGCATGATGCCAGATTCAGATCTTTCCTCTTTGCTTTAGTGTAGCTCTGTCTCTTCTTTGCCTTCGCTGTTCCTATCTTATGCACAGCACACATACTGTAAATTAAATTCAGTCAAAGTGCCTTTCTCCGCCTGACTACCAAAGCAATGCGCTGTCTTTTCCTTTCTTGTGGATCATTTAAATACACAAACCCAATTTCAACAAAGGTGCTCTGTAACTAACTGAAGAAAGAAAGTTGGTTGACGAAAAGCTCGGCACCACCACTTGTGCTGTTGAAAACACCCATCTTCCAAATGTGTTAAAAAAGCGGACGTGCGTGATCTCCCCTACTGTCTGTGCGTGCTTGAGCCTTGAGAGTGCTGTGTAGTGTTTTCCTAAATCGATCCTGTGGATGAATGTAAAGATCCTCTTCATTATTGTATGTGTAATAAAACATGACCAGCCACTTAACTGAGAATAAACAATAAAAACTATAAAACCACCCCTACTCTCTGCCTTCTGAAGTGTGTGTTCTGTGTAGCGTGGCACGGCCAACAGCGAATGACGCATCATAAAAACACAGAAGTGGAGGGAAGTGATGCTATCGGGTCAGGTCGCAGCATCACAGCAGGCAAAAGCATTGTTACGTTCATAAAGACAGAATTCATGCCTTATTTGGTAATCATTATCCATGCCGAGCTTCCCGACCTACTCATGACTGGAGCAGGTAGTGACACAGAGACTTCAAAGGCTGGCTGAGGCACTGAAAGCATGTATGAAACACGGATAGCTTTCAATTCACATTTATATTTCGCCAAGAGGACACAATGGAATTTATTTTTACCTAGTTTCATAGCAAAACATGTCATGTTTTCCCACACATTTTTTTTTTTTTGATTAATGAAACATGAATCACAGGGAGTGCAACACACCAGCCGTGGTCCAACTGTATGAATGATGAAGATTAAGGGGACTGCAATAGGTGGAGGATAGATTTCTTGTATTACCAAGTACATTTGACAAATGAATGTGTGTCTGTATGAGACAGTACAACAACGTGGTCATTATTTTATCTTTTGTCACACTGATCACAAGGTATTTTTTTGGCCACCGCCTTGCTAAGGTTGAGTCAGGTTAAACTTTTTGGAAGGGCGACTGTGTTTTTATGCCAGAGCTCTCTCTGTCTCCATTCAAATGAAAGGGAAGGATGTGTTTTTACTTGCCGGTCTAAAGACGGTCTAATAGAGGCCCAAAAACAAATTATGGTTTTATTGGAAGCTATGTGCAGAGCCTGCTAGCTGCCTTCCTTCCAGTCTTTATGCTAAGCTAAGCTAATCACCTCCGGACTCTGGGTGCCCTGTGGAGTTCTGGGAAGTTATATTTACATTTCCTTACTGTGTTCCGTCCCTTGCATGCTTGTACACCTGCATCTGTGTCCTCATTAGTGTGCACGGTAAAAAACAAAACAGGGACCCACTTGTGAAAACATTTTTATATACAAGTACAGCTACTAGCGGTCAAATACTCCACAGGGTGCGTTTAACACACAGACATGAGATTTGCATAAATCTTCTCAGCAAGACAGTGAATAAGTGCATTTTCCAAAATGTGAAACTATTCCTTTATTAGAGAATTTAAGATTTTATCTGTAAGACACAATAATTAGTCACAAAATAAAAAGAAATGAGAATTTGAATTAGTAGAAAAATTACTTTAATCTTCTTAATTTATTATGGACAATAGAAAATACAATTGCAAAATAAGAAAGGGGGGAAAAAAAACAGCTTATCATCTGTACATTGGCTTTGCTTCATAACAAATGCAACATTATGTTCAAATTACATATTTCCAACCAAACTATGTCCTGGTGGTTCATCAGAAAATATATCCGCAATCTAACTACATTATTTACAGAATGAACTACGTTAAAGAAAATGTTGGTGATGTGAGTCTAAATTATATGACAACAACGGGAAACACAATGCTGACATGTTCAAAAATGTTCATATAGCATCAAAATCCAGAACTGTGTCTACACAGCTCACTGCCGTTCTTCACCTACATGTTTGGTACACCACTTTAGGCTGTGCTTTCTAGCTACAACAAATATGTAACAAGCTTCAAATGACATTTTGCGTTCAGGATGTAATATGTACAATATAAATATGTAAAAAAACCAAAAGAGGAAGAAAAAAGTGACATTTGAAAAACAACAGCCATAGCAGCAGTGCAGCTGGCTGCAGTTCTGCGTACTCCTGTGAGCAGACCTATAATGAAGAAACACTTTTCTTCGCAGAATAAAGTTTCCTCTCTTTCCAGCAGGGTCAACATGAGATGGAGCTGCAAGTCCTGACTGGAGAATTCTCTGGGATGCCTGTGTTTATTGAGCCAAACCTCTCCAGAGGTCATCATATTGATGACAATCAGACAGTAGCAAAACAGATAAAAGTCATTAGGCCAATCACAGGGAACCAGACTCCCTTACTTCATTGCTAATTTGGATAAACAGCAGGGGACTGCTACTGGGGTAAAGGCCCTCGATATCTATAATGTCCTCAGTCTTTTTCTAACCAAATAACCCTTTTGAGAGGAGGAAAATGCCTGGCAAAGATTTGCTTTTAGTTGCAAAACTCAATCAATGCTCAGCACACTGGTTTGTCGTCAGGGGAAGACATTGTGCCAGTCTCCGGATGATTCAGGAACCACTTCCAGGTCAAGTTCAGGCGTTACCTCAACCTGGGGCGCCGGTTCTTCTTGGCTCAGGGACACTTCTTGGAGGGCCCCTGGAGAGAGAACGAGGGGGGGGGAAACGAGAGGAGGTTTGCATGACTCATGTGCAGTATATTGCTCCTTGAGAGAGGTAATAACAGCGCTCTGAAAAGCCCATTAACACGCATTCACAGAGCAGCACCAGCAGCTCAGATTCTGTTTTTCATTTGCCAGTGGCTGTCATGCAAATGAGACCATTCGTCAAAAAGCAATCTTCCCCTCCTCACTCCTCCAACATGCTATATTCTTCTCCTGTTCTCCTCTGAAAACTGTTACACAAGCTCTATGATAAGGGTTGATAAAAGTGGCATATGCTCATTTTGAGTTGTAAGTATGGTAAAAGCCGTGTGTCATCATACATTAATCTCAAAATAACATGGGCACAAAACAACAATATGTCACATTGGCACAAACTGAGAGGTTTCAGACACGCATTTTCTACTGCTGCAGGCCACGCACTGAATTGAGTTTTACAGTGGGCGTCATTTAATTATCTCCTTCTGTTTATGCTCTCTACATCTGAAACACTTAAAACACGTATTCATCACGTTTGCAAGAACCCGCCAGTGTTTCTCACAAGGAAAATAATAGTCTTCCTCTTTGATGTGGGCAAACAACTGGCACAGCCACACAAATGTAGAGAAATGGAGCAAATACCAAGGATTAATTTGAACCCTTTTAACCATTTAACATCATAAACATGCCTACAATATTGTGCAGTCACAGATGGAATCCTGGGAATTGAGATCTTGGTATTTCTTAGGAATACTTGCCAAAACGTGGTTCAGTTTCCCTGGATCTTTAGTATGCATGAGCTTGTGTGCGTACAGAAGAATATTGAATGTGGATAAATTAAGACACCTCCAAACCTTTTTGAAAATTCCCTGCACCTGTTGTAAATACAGTCTAACCTTAAATTTGGGTCAAATGAGTATGACAAACTGACCACACTATGCAACTGCCTCACTGCCATTAAAAGCTGGATGGCTAAAAACTTCTTACAACTGAACACAGACAAGACTGAGGTCCTTATTGTTGCACCTGATAGCATAGCTCCCTCGATCACTCAGCATATTGTATCACTTTCATCAGCAGTAAAATCAAATCTTAGAAATCTGGGAGTAATGTTTGACACATCAATACACTCAATCAATACACACCAGGTCGTGTTTCTTTCATTTAAGAAACATTGCTAAGCTCAAACCTGTTAATGATGATAATCTATGCTTTTATTTCTTCCCGCTTAGATTATTGCAACTCCCTTTTTATGTCTCTTTGCAGGTCCCTGGACCGTTCTGTCCTCTTAACATTGGCTCCCTGTTAAATTTAGGATTCAATTAAAATTGCTCATTTTAACATACAGAGCGCTGCATGGTCAGGCACCCGGGTACATCTCCGACATGCTGCACCCGTATATTACCTCTAGGCCACTAAGCCTACTAGCTGTACCGCATACAAGTCTAAAAACTAGAGGTGACCGTGCTTTCCAAATGGTTGCACCAACAATGTGGAACACTCTTCTTCCGTCAGACCTACGCTCTGAGGTCTCAGTCGAAACATTCAAAAATCAGCTGAAGACGTTATTATTTAAACCTGCCTTTGACTCCATGTAAACCTTTAACTGTGAATAGTCATGTTCTCTTTAAAATACAAAATGCCTTAATTTTGATTATTTATGCGCCTGTTAACATACACACAATACACTGATTATACTGATTAATGCCTTTTTAATGTTTGATGGTTATGTATGATTGTCTGATTGCTCCACTGTTTTATTGTTGCTTTTGTTATTATTGTTATTATGACTGTTATTATTTTTATCATTGTAAAGCACTTTGGTGCTATTTTAAATAAATTTTACTTACTTAAATTGCCATTTATATAGTAATCAGGCATGCAAACTGGTCGGGGGTAACAAAGGTTAGAAGGATACATGAGCAGAGAAACACACAGACAGTGTAAGAGCGGCCTGTTTTAAACTTACGTGTTGTACAGATAATGTGCATTTGTCTACTGCGACAAGAGGCCGATACCGACACGCAAGGGCGTCACTTTGTGTTGAAAAGCGGTGGGAACATATGGGCTCAGATTAGGGGTGTGACAATACACTTAGCCCACGAGATGTGGCGATGCACCGTGTTGGTGTTAGGAGAACAGTACTTTATTAAACACATAATTTCTTGCATTATGGTGATTTTCTGCACCAATTTCTGCCTTTCCTGCATCAATTTATAGTGGAAATGTTTTTATTTATGTAAAGGGAAATACAAAATTCAGGTGGCAGGTGACAACTTAAAATATAATTCTACAGAATATAATGCAGTGCAGCTCTCATTCTGTGTTGCTTTCAGATATGTTTCTCCTGTAGATCACTTTTTCTCATGTAATATCATCCCTGCTGGGTCAGCACACATGCAGGCTTGATTTAGTCTTCCCTCCTCTTGTATCATGTTCACAGGGAGAGAACTTGGCCAAAAAGAAACTGTGACAAGAAGTTTTTAAAGTTACTGATTTGTGAATGCACATTTTTGGGTCATTTTATAATCAGTATCTTGTTTTATCTTGCAAGCAAACCTTTCTCAAAGCACTTTCATTTAATTACCATTTCTTGCAAGCACTTTTCAAAGCATTTTAACAAATACCTTAAAAATTGATGATGACATGTCCCCAGTGTACACAACACCGATGCCGACATGTTTTTTCCTGTTGAGGTTAAACTACATTACATCCAGGTTGCTG